TTTCAAGAAACAAAGACTATAATTCAAGGCAAGACTATTTTCTGACCATATATTGCCCATATTGCTTAGAATATCAGCAAATTAATTTCTCGCACTCACCAGCGTGCTTGAATTCCTGCACTTCCTTAAAGCCCATCCATGGCTTCACCCAGACTTTGGCTTCGAAAAGCTTCTTCTTTCCGGCATCGATGGCCTCGATCGTCAGATGGTGCAGAGTTCCAGCACCTACTTGCTCCTTCGCCTTCACCACCCTCACAAACTCAAGCAGAGCATGCTGCAATAATTTCAATTAATTGCTTAATAATCTAATTAATTAAAATTCCAGCAATATATTGAAGAAATTAAAAGGCAAAAAAGAGTAAAGACCTCCTTGTTGTTGTGGTCTTGGACGGCGAAGCGAGCGAGGTCTTCGGTTTCAAGGCTGTTCTGGGAGGCATGGGATTCGTGGACTCAGCCGAAAGTGGCCATGTTTTGGAGTTGGAGGGATTTGATTCTTCTGCGAAGGATGAGAATGCGAGGAAAGGTAAGAGGAGGAAGAGGTTGAGTTGCATAAATAGACACTTGTAGGACACTTGTAGGACAGATGGGAATTTATCCAACAAGATGGTTTCTGACGGACAGATGGGAACTTATTTCTTTCGCTGCTCGAAGTCTTTTTGTATACGTGTCATACACGTGTCGCTTTGAGAATCGATCTTTGCTTAGTCGTTAAGCTTTTGTTTTCTTTTCTCTATTTTTCTTTTCTTTTAATTCAAGCGTTGTCTGTAAGAAAATATAAATAAATAAATAAAGAGAGCTTTAGTAGTTTACTCAAAATAGGGGTTGAAATTAAAAAAAAAACCCCACATGGAATGCACTTTAGAAACATACCCAAAAACTATTTACTACATAAGAAATGAGTGTTGAAGTTCCTATAAATTACATGACTGCCATTTATTAACTTAAAACAAGCCCAGCATAAAAACTTAAAAAAAACCCAAAACAAGCCTAGCAAGCCCGAAGTACATTGTTAATACCATATCATAGAAGTACATTGTTAATACCATTTCATACAAAAAATTCAAAAATTCAAAAAAAAAACCCAAAAAAGGCCCAACAAGACATCCGATATCCTTTGCAGAAACCACATCCAATTGTCCACAATTTCACCAGAAACAATCGCAAAGGCTTAAGGAAATACCTCTACAAGAAAAGAAAAAAGTACATTGTTAATACTATGTCATAAAACTATCTTCCTAGTAAAAATCACATTATGCATATCATAAACTTCAAGTGCACAGCTATATATAGAGCAAAATATAGAACATGCTTTGTGTAGGGGTCTTTTTCTTCCGGCAGCTACTACGGGCCTGGGCTGCCGTAAATAGCAAAATGGATGAAATTTCCCTTTGAGCCTGAATTCAGAGATCAAGCCCCAAGAATGCTTCGAAAGGACAGTAAGGCCTTAGGAAACACCTTGGTTATCTTCACCAACAAAAATAACAACAGCTTACAGATAAATTCTTGGCTTAGCATGAGAAGCTTGTGGCACGGGAGCAAAATCGACATGAGTTTAGCACCGAAGAGAAAACTGAGTCTTCTTGGGAGAAAAAGGGGTATTAAGGTAGGAGATAGAGAGTTTGCAAAGAGGTTTGGCTAAGAAAGGAGGGAAGGAAAGGAAAAGATGGCTTGGGCGCTATTTCCGACAGCTCGACAGTGACTCTGTCAAATGTCAGAATAGCATGACAAAGGGGAAAGCTGAGGGAGGAGATGAACTAAGCA